TTTACACACTAAACGAAATGCAGTTCACAACATTCTTGAATAGAAAATTCGCAAGTTGAGCGAAACCAAAATAGACGCCAGAAAGGCCTGATGGTTGTATCAAAGTGTCTAAAAAAATGAAAATAAAAATTGCAAACAGATTTATTTGCCCTCAATGAGAAGGCGGAAGAGAAGATGAGAGAAAGACGGGAAAAAATACAACAAAAGCAAAGTGTGAGAGAAAAGACCTTGTAATGCAGGGGAACATCGGTGTTGGGACCGAGACCCTTCTCACCAGTACAAAGAGCCCTGAAATTCTCAGCAGTCTTGGGGACGATGTCTTTGAAGAGCTCGACCACAATCCTACCCTCTAACTCTCCTCCAATGCTTATGTCCAGATAGCATCTTGGGTTCACCATTTTCCTTTGATCACTTCTCTTTCACTGATGAATATGAAAGAAGTATGAACACTGCGAACCCTAACCCCACTTCTTAGTTTGAACGTCTTTCCCTTTCACCTTTCTATGCGTGCCGCGACGACTAGGGTCATGCGCTCCTTCTACTCTGCGCTCACAGCTCCGCCTTTTAATCCCGCCCTTTTTGTTTTGTTCCTGTTGTTTTATTCTTGTTATTAAAGGGAGAGAGAAATTTGCTTTTTAAGATATATTATTCTCAATTTTAAAAAAAAGATATATTTTTTATGATTTTTTTGGCCAACGTATTATTCATGATTTATTAATTATGTGATTTTATTATTTATTTTATATTTTTTTATCTAAGAACGAGCATTTTAATGCTTGCTTTTAAATTTTAAATTTCATTTAATTTAGAAAAAATTGGGAATAAATGCCACATTGAAAATTTAATTGGCAAATAGGATCTAAAAACTTTCTGTAACTTAACTTCTATTTTGTGCAACTTAACTTTCTTTGTATACAACTTATCTTCCTTTATGTGTAATAATTTTTTTTGTGCAAATAAAATTCTCTTATGTGCATGCTATCTTCTCTATGTGCAAACTATTCTCTTATATCCAAATAGTTTTATGCAAACCATATTCCTTTTGTATGCAATTTATCTTCTTTTGTGCGCAACTAATCTTCTCTTATACAATCAATCATACTAGAGACCATTTGCTAATTAAATTTGTAATAAGAAATTTATCCTCTATTTTTCTTTTAATTTTTATCTAACAAAACCAAATTGTTTAGTAGAGAAGTTACGAGAATTAAGTCAATAAAAATTACGTAAAACTATTTTATGAAGCATATCAATTAGAATATTGACATTGAAATAATGAAACATCTGTATAATTTTTTATTCCTCAAAATTCAAGGTAAAAACAAAGTATACTAATTTAATTTTAAGAAAATTATTCAACAATTCTAAATAAAAAAATTTTAATATAAATAAGTTTGTTGAATTTCACTTACTACTAAGAGATGCTTTACTAAGAGGTCCTAACTTCTATGGGATTTGAGTATGATTTGCATAATAGGCGAAAAGACCCTCTTTACTCATTGTATCATTTTCTTCATGTAAATAGTATAGTTTATTGTAATTTTATATTTTATTTTTATTGATTATTGACATTGACACTTGTTATAATATTGATAGCCAAAAAATTTACCTTTCAAGCACAGAAAGCTTTACTTCTAAGAAAGTACTTATAAGAGCAACTTCCACAACATAACTTGTAAGATTTCACTCCAATAGAACTCGAATGAGTTCACATTCTGATTCATTGTCACATGCAGACTCATAGCATCATGTCACGAGCAGATGCTAGCTAATTCACTACCCTACAGTTCTTCCTGACCTCACCTTCTTGGCCAGTGAGAACACCTATGCGTCCCATCTTCTCCATGGACACTGCAAAGTCCCTTAAGAACAGAAAAGGATACTTGCTATAATTGAGAACTAAAGAAGCTGTTCTGTTGTCACCCAGAAGAGCCTGATCCGACTGAAGCAATCCTGAATTGTTCACTAGGTTTCTATAGTACATGTTATCAAATCTGTTCGTGGTCACTGGATCCAAAGGAGCCAACTTGGTGTCAGAATCATCCTGGTCAGGGCATAGTTTCTGCAGAGTTTGAAGAAGTGAAGAATCCAGTGCTGGATCAGATTTGCCTTTGCTTCCGAAGTTGAACAGCCTTGACTTGAAGGTAAAACACTGAGCAAAACCAAAGGTGTGTGCACCTGCAAGATCCATAAAAAAGGGTGAATGTTTATACAGAATGTATATGTTTGTTTCTAAAGGGTTGTTTGCAAATGGCCATAGATGAGTCACACTTTCACTTTCACACTTACTATAATATCAAGTTTGGAGAGGTAAAGTAATGGAAGAATCAAACCTGAGAGGGTGGCTACATCATTAATATCAAGTCCCTTAGTGATGAACTTGTCAATGATGTTTTGAAGGGGCTCAAAAGGTGATGGCAAATTATTAGCCTCAGTCTTGTTTGCTGTTGTGCCATCTCTGCGACCAAGAGGCACAGGCCAAAATGGACCTCCACTCTGAGAAATTTAAAGCAGGGATATGAATATGTATATGATGTACTGTATCTAAATTAGAAAGGGAGCTAATTCATTTTCACAGTATATATATCAGATATTTCTTACAAGGTAAACAGCTTCTCTGGCGGCTAGAGTAACTATATCAGCACATGACACTGTGGATGGGCATGCCTTCTCTAAAGCAGACTTGATTGTGTCAATTACTTCAAATCCTCTTAATGAATTTTTATTAGGAAGGGCATTCTTTTCACCCGTGAACGTGCTGGTATCATCAAGAAGCACAGAACCATCACATCCCTGTACCAGAAAAACAAAAAAGCTGTGTTTTTTAAAGGTGACAACTTATCATAAAAGTGACTAAAGAAAAAGAGTTTTTTTTGTTTTATGAGGCAACTTATTTACATTGACGAAGCAATCATGGAAATGAAGACGCAAGAGAGAAGCTGCAATTCTGGATTCATTGGAAATGGCTGACCAGACATTGTATCGAACAACACCAGTTAGGTTTGGACAAGTAGAATCATAGAACATGTAATTAAGCTGACAGAAGACAAGAGGACTAAGGAGCACAAGGCAGCACAAGAAAAGAGAAGAATGCTTGTAAATGGCACACTCCATGAGTGAAATCCAGGAGAGTTTTCTCTAATAACTGAATTACAAGTGCTGTGAGACAATAAGTTGCAAAGTGGAAGCAATTTATAGAAGAAAAAGCAGCTTCTGCAAAGTGTAGTTTAATGCAGAGTGGGGGAGCCACTATGTAAGTCTCAAGCACTTGAGTTCGGCACAGGTCCACATTTACTTTGATAATGGGGAGAAAGAAGTATCTAAGTCCACTCTCACCTCATGCACAACTGATCTTAGTGGGAAGATGATGTATTGCATCATATCTCTCTTGTTAAGAAACTGTTACAAGGCTAAATATTACATCCCAAGTTGACTTTGGCTGCTCAATATGAAGAATATATTGCGTTCTAAGTTAAAACTTTTGTTACCTGAAGTAATATACCTCTTCTTATTATTTCTCCCACTAATTCGGTTATCTATGACATTGTTAAGGATTCAACTGGCACTAAATATGTGTGTGACAATAAATACTTTTTTTAGTTTTAAATATAAAACTTATTTTATAATGTAATTTACGGGATATATTAATATTAATTAAAAGTAATCCATAAGTAAGAAATACATTTTTTTTTCCCAAATACGCCTTTATTTATATTAAAAAAGGCATGTAAGAAAGATAAATAGTAAAAAAGATGAAAGAGAATGTGAGGAAAAAAGATTATACAATTAATTAGGAATAAAATTAATAAAAATGCATTTAATATTCAAACAATTCCAAATTATATATTATAAAAATGACTGGACTAATTCAAAAATTCAAAAATTATAAAAATGACATGAGTGAGTACCATTTTGAAGCTTCATTGTTAATGTTAACTAATGACTATACAGGTTAGACCACGTGATTCATCTCCATTAATCTATTCAACTTATCAATTAAAAAAAAATTACTTTACTGGCAAGTGCAATGAATCTCAAGGTAGTGTTTATCAATAAATTACTTTACTGTTTATGCTTGACCTGCTGAAATGTTAAAGCATTAGCGAGTTCTGATGGGGCAGAACAAGTGGATTTTTGAATGCATATAGCGAACTATATATATATATATCTATCTATCTCGAAAGTGCATGGCATTTGAATATACATATTCTGTGAATCTGTGCCTCTGTGGTGGAATATGTGTGTACAATCATTATAGAAGATAGCAAAACTTATCTTGTTGTAGGAAAAGTCATAGAACAGATAATAAGTCTATTTAGAACAGCTTATAAATAACTTATAAGTAGCTTTTTAATAATAACTTATCGAATACAAAGTAAGTATATAAGAAGAGTTTTGTCTAGATTTACATAAAACGTGCTTATAAAGAATTTCTTAAACCCTTTCAAAGAGAGCACAATAAGGTCAGCAAACAAAGCACGGGAGAAGGAGGTGGAAGGAGCTGTACTGGATTACACTGCGAGAATTAGTTGGCCACGACTCCTCTGAAACTAATGAAGCTCTATCCTACCCTTTTTTATTGCTTTTCTGGCATATTCATAGCATATCAAGTTTATTCCTTTCATGGGGTTCTTGTGATGGCCAGGAATTCCGATTGTGTTTGTTTCGGGAATGAGACACTGAGCTGATAATACAGTCAATTTCTAAAAATTTATCAGCAACATCATTCCAATAATTATCGTTATTATATTCTTTATTATCCCCTTTTCATCTTTCAATCCAAATCGCACGGTCCTTCACAAGGAGTAATTTCGTCGTCCGACATGGGAAAGAGACTCAAGCCTGCCCTTTAAACATTACATGTCAAACCTCACTGAAATTCCAAATCTTCGAAACAGACAGCTTGGATAAACTCAAGCCCAGCAGGTAATAAAAGGATCAAGAATTTAAAATAGCAGTGAGAGAGAGAGAGAGAAGAAGAAGAAGAAGAGAGACAGAGATTCTTCAAAATTCTCGAAAGTACTCTAAAAGCATAACCTTTTTCCCTTGCTAAATTCCCATAATACATGCAATAATTACAAAAGGAGGCGTCCCCAGCCCTGTTTTCTGGGTCTTGTCCCATGAATCCATAATAATCCCATTGAAGAGTTCAACAGAAGTTACAGAACAAGTAATCGAGGCAGCCTCCTGTGCAATCATAGCAGCAAGAACAACTACATCTCCAGAAAAATCAGAAAACTCAATCAGATATAAACAAATAATAACTCTCTGCAGTCCCAACAAGGGAAAAAAATGAAATTGATCTGAGAGAAGAGAAAATCACCACTCATTGACGGCCTTGTCCTGGGGATCATCATTCCCAGCTTGGAAGTCTTTGCTGGAAACTTCAAAAGACTGGGTTGGAGGGGGTTCCATGGCTAGCTTCCCTTTTTGTCTTCACTATCACAGCAGAATTCGTGAAGCGAAGGTATGAATGAAATGAAATGGAAGTGAAAGCGAAAGGGAGAGATATAGGAGGAAATTAGGAATGCACGTGAAACCACATTCTACAAGGGGTCGGCTCTCTGTCAAAAACGTTTTCTTTTTACGGGAAACGTCAAGAAGGAAGGAAGCGTTTTAGGTATATTTGGTTGATTTGGTTGATTCTTTAGGAAGAAAAAGATTAATGTTGTTTTAATGACTTCGATTTGACCAAATGATGATTCCCTAATTAGCTTTGGTTGAATAAGAGGCAACACAACTGGAGTTTTTCCCTCGTTATTATTGTTTCAATAAATTAAAAAGTTAATATAATCTTTGATTCCTCAAACTTTAAATTATGGATTGAGGCCACTCGGGTAAAATAATTCAAATTTTTATTTGATTATAAGAGATAATATTTTAAATAAAAAATTTGAGGGACTAAAACCAAAATAAGAACAAAATTAAAGGATCAAAGTTTATATTAACCCTAAATTAAATAAATAAATAATTTTCCCAATTGAAAACAAAAAAATTCAACTTTCGTGCTTCTGCTGACGATTATTCCTACACGGCTAATGGAATCTCCACATCGACCGACTTTGTCTTATGAGCAAGTAGAAGCGATAATTTATTACTACCAAATATAATTCTTTCAAAAAATATATAAAGAGAGAATCAACCTGAATATTTCTCCCATACTTTTTCCTTGCCAAATATATTCAAGTGTCTGTTGAGAAAAAAGAAAAAAGACGGCTGATTCATATAAGAATCACCGTGAAAACAGCGGAATTTGCTTCATTTCTCCATTTAGGTTTTTTCTACTTTCTCTCTATTGAACACTTTTGAACAGTTTAAATTTAATATTTACAAATTATTTTTTTTGAAATTTTTTACTGTGGTTTTGAATTATTTAACAGTTCTGATTTATTTATTTATTTATTATAATTTTATATTTTAATAATAATTTTGTCAAAATTTGAACGGTTCAAGATTTGATCTAACTACTGAAATGTGCAGTGCACTGCAGCGCAGAAAAGTAAGAAGCAGATTAGATCCAAAAAAAAAATTAGATAAAACAAAAAGAAAGAAAGTAAGAAGCAGAATGGTTAACAAGCTTAATTTCAGAGAGGACTCTCTCCACTTTTGCCTCTACATTCCCCCCACAGATTAAATTTTCACGGTCTTTTTTCTAACGTTTGTTTATATATTAATCTCTGTAGATTATTCATTTAACACTAAACACATTAAGCTACTAAATCACCAACAAAATAAATTTAAACCGTTAAAATTTATATTATATGGTGGTATTAATATATTGCTATGGACAAAGCACGCCCCGGACCTAAAGTAATTTAGGCTCTGTTTGGGTAGCACCCCAAACCATGGTTTGGGGACTCAAACAATGGTTTGGAGAAAATGCTACCCAAACAGCCTCCCAAATATTTAAAACCATGGTTTGGGGGAAACCATAGTTTTGAACCCCCAAACCATGGTTTCATCAGAAGCTATTTTCATCAGCTTCTGGCTCCAATTATTGAAGGCTGATGGTGGGCCCTCCTCACATGACCGAACAGCCCCGGCTTCAATTATCTTTTGGCTTCAATTCCAGTCGGTCGAAACTTCAGAGCTCCTTCCATTCCAGTCGGTCGAATTCCATTCCAGTCGGTCGCAACTCTTCTGGTGCTTCGCTCTTCAAGTCTGAAATTCTTCCCGTCGAAGTATGTGCTTCTGGTTCACTGGTTCGTCGAGCTCGTGCCGTCGCTGGTTCTGTGGTCGGGCTGAGAAGAAGAAGGGATGAAGACGATGGTGATGAAGGGAGGTTCCCCCTTTGCCGTCGCGCAGCGTCTCCGTCTTGTGTTCGTGCTTCGGTCCCCTGTTTTTCCTAGCCGCCGTCCCGCATGTGTGTGTGTTTCGTTCTCTGCTCGTTCGGCGTGTTCTCCCTCAGCCCGCTCCGCCTCGTGTTCAACTTCTCCGCCAAGATGAAGATTAGTATATTAGGTTGGGGGTGGTGCGCACTTTGCTCCCTTTTGTTTTAATTAATTAATTAATTACTCTAAAAATGTATATATTTCACGTTTAAAATCTTTAAAGAAAATTAATTAATTATCTGTTAGCCAAAAAAAAATTCAATTTTCTATAAACATATTTAATATTATGTTTTATAAATATATATACACATATTAATTATGTATTAATTATATTATATTATATATTATTAATTATGTTACTAAAAAATTTTTCATTAACAATTTTATTTCCTCAAATCAAAATATATCATAAAATCTATTCCTTATATAATTATCATATTAACTTATACCATTTTTGGTAATTTTGACATGTAAAAAGTGCTTCTGGTAATAACTATCCAAACACTCTCACTTCTCAGAATTACTTTTTTTCAGAATCTATTTTCCACAAAATCTATTCTCCAGAATCACTTTTCCAAACCACGGTTTGATTTCATCCAAACACACCCTTAATATGATAAATGTATATGTAAGCCTCTTCTCAATGCTAATTTTTTTCAGAATAATAATAATATATTTTAATAAAAGGATTGATTTTATAAAATGAAAAAAATCATACTACCTCCGGTATTTAATATAAGACCTTGTTTAACTTTTATTTTGGTCCTAATTATAAAATTCCAATACATTTTGTCTCTCATATTTATGTATTCTTTCTCAAGATAATCCCTCTAATAATAGTAGTTCTAACCAATAAACTTAATTAACAAGGATATTTTAGAAAAAAACAATATCTATTTATTACAAATAACTAATTGAACTTATTCTTTTAATTTCCTCAAATTAGTCAACTAGCTCTTATAATTAGGATCGGAGGTAGTACAACTAAACATAATAGTAATAAAAATGATCATTTTATTTAAAAAAAAAAAAAGCATAATAGGGATGTGCGGGGCCTCCACCACTTTGGTTGAAAAATACTCCTACAATCATTAATATAAAACATACTTAACTAATTTGATTAAATTAAAGAAGTTAAGTAAGTTAGTTAATTATAAAAAATATATCATGTTTTTCCTAAAACACCATAATCATCTTCCTTAATATCTTCTCTTCCTCTTCTACTTGATTATGGTTGAAAAAATATACATAAAGATAATTTAGAAAAAATTGATAATTATGAAAAACAGGTCTTATATTTAAGACCATAGCCAACTTAACAATTAGGTCCTATATTAAGGACTAAAGGAGTAATATAAGAATATTTCTCTATAATTGGGAGTTGTGCCAGCCAAAAAATAAACTAATCCTTACAATGAGATTAACCAAACTTTAAATCCTTACGGAAAGAATAAATCACATCTTTAGTCCCAAAAAGTATCTCAAACAATATTACACTAAGAGACACCTATACACAACAAAAAGAAGATGATCTTTTTTTTTTTTTGAATCAATACTGAAAATCAAAACATTACAACAAAAATCAACAAGTCTTGGTTTCCTTTAACAATCTCTCCTTCACACATATGAAAGGTGGTTGATCTAAGATACAAAAATTACTCTCTATGGAATAACTTCTTCTTTTTTTTGAATCAATACTGAAAATCAAAACATTACAAAAAAAATCAACGAGTCTTAGTTTCCTTTAACAATCTCCCCTTCACTTATGAAAGGTGGTTGATCTAAAATACAAAAATTACTCTATGGAATAAGAGAATTTAGCTAAATAATCAGGGGAATATGTTCCCTAGCAGTATATACCGAGGCAACAGTCCAATCCCTATGAAATAATAATCTAGCATCATGTCTTTCAACAGGTAATTTTCATCACAACCTCTACAAAATAGACATAGCCGCTACATAGCCAGTGTATGTCACTATCTTCCTGTAGCCTCTGCTCCAACAGAGTAGCAATCCATAAGATGATTTCTCTTGCGATGAAGGAACCGGCCAATAGCTGAATTAAAATTATCATTTTCCTTTTTTCGAAGCTCAAGATTGTACCAAACCAACTTATCTATATCTCTCGTAAACAATAGAGATAAAGTGAACAACCTCTAACACTAATTAAAAGGAAGAAATTTATCATTACAACATCCCGAACTAATTTGCAAGGCCATAGGAAAAACGGAAAAAACAGACACATACCATTCTGGTTCAATGCAACAGGAGTAACCACACAGAAAACAAGACATTCTTGGCATGGGAAATTTGGCTCTATTAGAAATGGTCCCGTGAGAACAGTAATGACAGTACCAGGAACAATTTCCCCAACTGCACTTGGTTCTGTCGTTGAGCAAGGATCAAGACTACAATGCTAGATTAAAGGGGTGGCTTTGATGCAAACATATCTGGCCATCGTATATTTGCGAATACAGAAATCAATAATGCATTTGACATCAACAGCCACCTACTACCAAAAATGAAACGCCCGTTTCGTACAAAATAACCAAACAGGTGAAAATTGCAGCTGCTTGAACTCAACACTGCTCCAGTGTACCCCATTTATTTGGATCCTGCATCTCTGCCTTTGCGTTTCTCCTCAAGAATGTTGAGGGTTGTCAGCAGGAGCAGGTCCCTTGTTTTCCAACACTGTGGGAACTATTTTACATATAGGCATGTTTTCATTCTTACTCAGCAGCTTTAAGGATGGATGAACCTCAATATCACGCATGAAAACCCTGTCTTCAATATCTAGATTGCTCACATCCACCTCAATTTTTGATGGTATGTGCTCGGATGGACAAAGAAATTTAAGACTACTTCGGATCCTGTTCAAACAACCACCTGCAATACCATAATATTCTCATATTAGAATTTAAAACACACTAACCCCCATTTCGACACCAATTTTGTTACGTACCAGTCTAACAAATTTATAATCAACATATCGAGATAATTTACTGTGAACTGCCAACCTTTCCATACCATGTAACACTGACAAAGTTAAGCAAATGATGGGATGAAAAGGGTACAAACAATTCACCTATTTTATAAGAAAGAGGACAAGAAGTTGAGAGAATAAGCTAGTTTATTATTCCAAACATCAAAAGACCTTCAAAGCTATATTAAAACCGCATGCTGCAAGATATATTTGCCAGCCAAAAGCAAAGTCACGGAACTACTGAGTTATTATCTATAAAGCATGAACAAACCTATCTTAAACTGTCGCATGTCTGAAAACACCACCACAATACATGTTCAAATGTGTGGGACTGTCAGACTAAAAAACTTACCATTTCAGCCAGAACAAACAACAAAAGATTTAAAGCCCCGTATAATGCTCAAACCTCCTAATTATGTATTTATTGTTTCTTTTGATTATCAGATTTTACACAAAAAAGCGATTTCCTACTACATGACACATGATCATTATTTAATTAACAGGTTCAAGAGCATGAATACCATAACTCACGGTAATATATATATATATATATATATATATCTGTGCGCCATTTAAAAAGGCTAATATATACATGTGTGTGTGTGTAACATTTCAAAAGGCTAATATATATGTGTGCGCGCGCGCGCACCATTTAAAAAGGAGCATAAAGATTTCCAATCTATGTTTGAGAAAGATTAGGGATTTGGTGGTAGAACGACGGCATAGCCCCCAAAGTAATGAAATTGCTCACTCCACAAGCAAGAATGTGAGCTTCTGGTTTTCATGCATTTCATCGTACCCCATCATTCTAAATAGAGCCTAATAAACTTCACCCAAACTCTACTCAAACCCAAAGATATAGCGGTAATTTTCCAAATAAAATCCCAAAATCAAATGGATATAAATAGGCAAAGAAAATACCTTTCTGCAAGCCAGGACAAACATCTTCGCCTTTAAAAACAACAGGCACATCCACCTTCACGTCCAGCCCATCATCAGCCCAAACAAACACTAAATTTAGAATTTTCCCACTCTCTTTGTCCCTATGAATCTACATAGCAGATGAAGAAAACCAAAATAACAAGTTAAAAACTTAAAAACAAAAATCACTAAGTTCAATTAATAGTCAATCTCCAAATTCTCCAAACTTGTATAAAAGAAAACCTTAATCGGTAGCACAGTTCCAGACTCGAGCATATGGGAAGATCCAGAGCCAGCGCGGATCTGGAGGGGAAACCGGGTTGAGTAGAAGAAAGGAAGGTCCACGGCCTTGAGTATGGCCTTAATCTGCTTCCTCTCCGTGGTAAGCAAACGCTTCCTCGATTGGATGACATCATTTTTACTGAGAAGATTCTGGTACTCAACAACGGCTGGAATTCGACCTTGCATTCTGTCTCTAGCAGAGACTCGATTACCAGTGCACTCTCTTGGAATAGCTTGGATCGTGTGGTAGGAAGCGACTTGGAATCTCAATAAGAACGAGGACTCCCAACGGCTAGCAGCCACCGCCCGGAGACTACCGGCGGCCGAGCGCCACCATTTCGCCATGACGGTTAGTGTCCCTGAGATGAGATGCTAGGCCGCTAGCGAGGACACAGAGGGTTTTAATTTTGTCAAGGGTTTAAAGCTTCAGGCCCGTCTGAAAGGCAGTCGGCTGCGGACATCAGAAGTTCTGGCCTAATTTCGCTGTTTTGGGCCTGGTTTATTCTTTTGGGTCAGCTACACTAATGACGGTTATATGAGGGTTAGCGGTGCAATGAACATTATTGCTAGTTTTTTACTTGGATAAGAAACGACTATAAAAAATGTTAATTAAATTTAGTTAAATACTAAATCTGGTTCTAATTAGAAGAGCTAGTTAACTAATTTGATGAGATTAAAAAAATAAGTTAAGTTAGTTATTTGTAATAAATTAATGTTGTCATTCCTAAAATATCCTTACTAATCAGATATATTGGCCAGAACTAACATTGTTAGAAGGACTATTTTAGAAAAGAATGTATAAATATAAATAATAAAATGAATTAGGGTCTTATATTTAGGACCAAAATAAAAGTCAAACAAAATCTTATATTAAGGATTCGAAGGTAGTATAATAAATGTATAAGATGTAAAGAGAGTAGTAAATGAGAGATAATGAGCAGAAATTTATTGCAGAGAGTTAGTAAATGGCATGTACTTAGTGGGACAAAAGTGAAAAAAACCGTTAAATTTTGAGACAAAGAGGATTTGTTTCATATGTTTAAGGACACTACTATAAGAGATATTGTTTCTTATAAAAAGATATGGAGGAAGTAAAGTCAAATTTTTTTATGAGTGTAATTTTGTTAGAAGTAATCATGTTGGGGATTAAAAAAAAAAGTCAAGGAACTAAATGTGAACACATCAAACAATGAAACAAACATAACACCAATAGGGATTTGATATAGTGGAGGGGGCTGGTTTTTTAGTGAATGAAGATTTAAATCTTTACTAAGAAAAATTCTTATATTTAATACCTGATAGTATTCTAAACAAGACAGCTTAAAATGATATCTGCACCTTAGGGGGGAAAAAACCAAAACATAAATGCCCAAATAAGAATCATAGCATTGCCTGGGCGTGAGACTCTAAAAAAATCATAGCATTGCCTGGGCGTGGGACTGTAACAGAATTCTTTTTTTTTGGGGGGGGGGGTGTGAAGAGCGACCCAAATAAGTACTCCTAAATGGGCTTTACGTGAAAAGTTCAAAAAAGACAAATATCCAAATCAAGTAGTCAACGTCCTCCTTAGTTGGCTTCTCATCCAACCCGTCATCTGTTGAGTTGAGATTCTGATTGCAGCGAAGGTGGCGAGGAGCACTAAACACCCCCGTAGGGTTTTGAAACCCATTTCCTTAAACTCTGTTTCTCAGTAGCAACTTGAGAAACAGAGTAATATGAATTTTTATTACAAGTACCTTTGTTGAGGATATTGAGGACAGTTGATTAATATAGCATAGTTCTTCGCAACGATGCTACCAAGTGTTTTTGAATGAGTTGAAGAATAGGGTTAATAATTGACCAGAAGTTATCTAGGGAGATCTTGGAAGCGACATATCCAGATCCAGGACGCTGACTTTTGAGCCATGAACGTGCAAACATACAGCCAAACGCACATTCTACAGGTTCGCCTCTTTCGGTTAGTGGTAAAATCTATTGTAGAAAAGCGAATGATGAGGTGAAGATTCCTAGCCCATTAAATGTCTGCTTTCACTCTTTTGTCTAGAAATCTCCATTCAAACTAACAAACTGTAGGTTAAAATAATAAGTGGTTTCACTCCTATAAGAAAAAGAATAATCCCATAAAACATACTTGTTGGGAGGATTTTGACCTTGATATTCTCGACTTGATAGAAATTAGTTTTAAGCTCAAAGTGATTTGAAGACACTATGAGTCATATATGTGTGTGTATATATTTTTTTTAAAATCTCCATTCCAGCTCTTTTTGAGCGTGAAGGAATTTTCACGTTATTTTTATTAATGCCTGGAACTATTTAAATATTACATCTGATGACTTAATTAAAAGTAACTCTTGGTAAAGTAATTTTTGTTATTCTTACCACAAGAATTAGAGTTAATAATAAATAGGGTAAGTGGTACTCCTCTGGTCCTATTTGTAAGTGCAAAAAACTAACTTTTTTATCCTATTTATAGGGCACTGGGAGAAATTTTTATATAGATGCACAATTTTACTCATTTATTATTGTGTTGATTTTGTTTACATGAAATAAAATGTATATTAAATAAGAACAAAGTTAAAAAGTTGTTAAATTTTAAATAAGAGTTAATAAAGTTTAAAATTTTCCTTAGTCTACATGAAACGTGTTAGAAGTGACTTATACATAGGATTAGAGGAGTTATCGAACATTAAAAAAAAAAAAGCAATTGATAAATCAAATAGGGAGAATTACTATAACGTGTTGAGCAAGGAACACAATTACTACAAAATTTCAGTAACAACAAGGCACCTTGCAATAATAAATTCTAGGAAAATACATGATACTGTTCATTTGTGAACAGGATTTACTAGTAATTATTTTTTTTCTTAGTAACCCGTTGTAATTCTCCTAATCAAATAAAAAGTAGTATAAGATTTGTTTGCATTGTTTTACGTACTCAGTCTTTGATCATTAGTTAGTTTAGCAATATTATTAGTCTTAATTAAAAATAAAAAATAATTAATTTTAAAAATTGTATGTGTACTCTAAGAAACTTTTCTATTATGAATGGGACCTAATTGTATTTAAGGAAAGCTTTGCATTCTAGGCCATTCTTATTTTCATGATTTAGTTTCTAATATGGTAATTTGACCAAATACGTACAAACTAATTAATGATCAAATCCAATCCGTATCTAAACTAACTTAACGAGAGAACCAATAAATTAATTATTGGTACTGATTATATAAACTTATTACTCTTTAGTCATTTTTTTTATGATTATTCTTTGCACATTATATGACTACATCAATCAATTAACATTATGATTTATAACCACAGCATTCGTACAAATGCGCCGCAGTAGGCACAATGCCTCAAACAATTAATCAAATAGTATAGAAGAATCTCGAATATCAATCTATTAAGGTTTGAATAAAAGTTGTTACTATATATGTTGAGATACTAACAAATATTGGCTGTAAATTAAAATTATCTAAACTAAAATAACAAACATGATAATGACAAATATAATATATATACTGATCGAAGTGAATTGAAATATAGCAAGGCCGGGCCGAAATTGAATTTAAAGAAGGCTGGCCCCAAATCCTCAAAGCTCAAAGCTGGAACGCCGAAGCACGCAGGAGATAGAAAGAAATTTCGTTCTTCTCAAGTTTGCTTCAATTCTCTTGCTCTCATAATCTATATTATTCTGCGCTCAGTTGTCGTCTCCATTCACACACCAGTACTGTAAGCTCTTTCTTTCTGTTCTTGCGTTTAAATTCACTTTGTTCATTATTTTCTTCTCTCTTGTAGTGAAATCTCATGATTTTCGATCGCCGGCCATTGTTAGAGATCACCGCGCGTCGCTGTTTTTCTCCCCTCTCTGAAACCATTCGATTCGTCTTCTCCTCTTTTTCAAACCTTACCAGCACGCGAGAGCCGCCATGTCTGGATCTCGTCGGTGCAACTCGTTGTTTTTGTTATTTTTTTAATTAGGTCTTTTGCAATAGAATGATGAGATTTTTCGCGATGATAAATGCTGATGACTGGAATTCTTGTTCGTCTATTTTCTTTTATTGGGGATTTCGAGAATTAAATATGTTGCCCTGATTAAAAATCATCGCCTTGGACCCTTATTTCACGTCGGTTGCTTAAGGAGAACGACACTTGATTTGATTATGTGACCCTTTTTAATGACTTCCTGATTATTTTAATGATCTATCACTGAAATTTTTTAATCTTCAATCAAGAATCTGTTGATGATTATGAAGCTTCGTTGAATCTCACTTCCATTGATAGATGTGATTCCTCGTTTCCATGCTGGATTTCACCTTTCTTTATTCATCCTCATTATTTAATTGATTAATTATTGCTATTTGACTCTCTCTCTCCCTCGCTAATCTTCCCTTCTTAATTGTAAAATTAACGGCACTGTTTGTCTGGTTGTGAAATTAAGATCACGAGATCAAATTTTTAATACTTCTGAATTAAACAGGACTGGAAATAATGTCATCATCGAAAACTCCGTGTGCCGCGTGCAAGCTTCAGAGGCGAAAATGCACTCAAGAATGCGTCTTCGCACCATACTTCCCGCCGGACAACCCTCGCAAGTTCTCTAACGTCCAACAGGTGTTCGGCGCTAGCAATGTTTCTAAGCTTCTCACCGAGCTCAACGTGGCTCACCGCGAAGAAGCCGTCAGGTCTTTGGCTTACGAAGCCGAGGCTCGGCTCCGAGATCCAGTCTACGGCTGCGTCGGCCTCATCTCTGTGCTCCAGCAGAGGCTGAGGCATGTACAAAATGAAGTCGACAAGGCGAAGAAGGAGCTCGCTACTTATATAGGCCCTCAGGCTCTACAACCCATGGTTCCCGTTTTAGACCCTCATCATGGAATGGTCCCGCTTCACCCTAACCACCAGGGCAATGTTTATGGTCCCTCAGTTTTCCCGTACAATAACATGCCGCCGCAGGCTATGGCGGCGCGCGGCGGACAACTGGTGATTCGTGAACCTCAGCAGCAGCATCGTGACGAGCAGCAGATGTTGGGGTCGCAGTTAGCGACGGATATGGAGGTGAGGCAGGTGCAAGAGTTGTTTGGGATTTATGATCAGCAACAACAACCGCCGACGACGCAGCAGCAGCAGAAGGACTTTATGAGTTACGGTGGCGGAGGGGGAGCTGAAATGGGCTCGGTTTCTGGGAGTGGGTTTAATCAACCTCCAGAAATGTCGCCATCGCTGGCTTTGAACACATATGACAACACTTACCGTTCAGTACAACTACAGCAAAGCCAAGGAGGAGATCAGCAGCATCACCATCATCAACCTCCGCGCCACCATCTTCAAGAACAGATGCTTCTACCGCCGCAGCAGCCACAGCAGCCGCAGCACCAGAATCAGCCTCTTCACCATCAGCTTCAAGAACAGTTACTTTTATCGCCGCAGCAGCCACTTTTATCGCCGCAGCAACTGCAACCGCAGCCTCCGGCCCATCAGCTTCAGGCGCAGCAGCATCAACATCACCGTCATCAGCTTCAGGAGCAGCTGTTTCTACGGCCACAACAACCGCAACCGTATCAGGATCAGCATCAACATCATCAGCCTCCGCACAATCAGCTTCAGGAGCAGCTGCTTTTACAGCCGCATCAACATCAAGAGCAATCGGAGGACACGGATGGTAGGAGCGTCGGTCCTTCTTGATTTTCCAGTTCTGCAGATTTTGCGCCTTAGACAGTATCGTCCAACATTTTTAACTTTGGTATGTTTATTGTTCGTCTTCTATTGTCATCGGCTTTATCTTTGATGCCTGCGAAAGCTTTGCCCTCTCTCTCGAGCGAGGCTGCTGGCTTTTTCTATTGATTTAATTTCCATGTGTTTCATATTTCTTTACAAGTGCATTTTGAGGGCAGCTGACAGTAGATAGATCCAACTCTTTTAACCTTTAAAATTCACCTACAAGTAAATTTACGAATGAACGAGAGTTGATTAATTATTTCTGTAAGATCTTAGACTTTGTTGATAGACTGATATAATCAGGACGATGAATGTCGCATTCGCCAATTATGATAAGTTATAATGGCCACTTTGTATATTATAGCCAGCGTATTCTATTTTGGTCTTTGTGAAAATGTCATGCTGATAAGAAATCTATCATAATCTAAAAGCAATTGTTGCTTTCTAGATTCTACAATTCACAGGGAGAATATGAGCTCGTTTTTTCCCTTACGAATAATAATTGATCAGACCATTCTACTGCCGGAACAGCAGGTTTTTTGGCCGCTTCTTAGGATCCATAAGAGATATAACCACATTAGTCTTCTTTTCTGTCTTGCTCTATACGAGCGCATAACCATATACCGAGACAGTTTTTAATTAACTTGATTCGTCGAATGCATATTTAACTGTTTCAATATAAAGGATAATGTATTCATTTTGCATGTGAATATTATTTATTTTGATGGCACTTGTGTGAATTTAGATTCAAAAAAAGGAAAGGAAAGAAAGGGGGATAGAGGCAGTGGCAAAACTTAGACACAAGTTAGGAAAGAAATAACACGGGAAAAGAGAAAATGAAAAAGAGGAGTCAAAGTTAGAGGCACACAAAAAGAGGAACTTATAGATCTGAGAACAGTTTGTGTTCTTACAGTACGTACCTATAATTTTATTCGATATACAGACATATATATTTGTTGTGTGTGGAGTACAAATTTAACTAACAGCTTTCCGTGCCCTCTTTGCAGTTCTTACCAGATGATTTCGCAGAGATGATGTTCCCAGAGATATATGGGCAAATATTGCGTACGTGTGACCCTGCATAATTTTTTTTGGCATTGAAGAGAGCTTCGGAGACCGAGAACCGTTTTTGAAAGTAAGATATTCTCATCGATCGATATTGGAGAGAACTGCATATTTCAAGCGAAACTATGTTCTATCTCTTTTCTTTTGTTTTTTTTTTTTTTATTAGCTAAAGTTGTAAATCAGAATTTAGAAAGCAAGCTTTCGAGTATTTCCCTTGCTTCGCTCTATCTACAGAAACATAGGCATCGAGATGGGATGAGAAAAATGAAGTTCGACAGCTAGAAAGCTATAGAAAACAAAATTACTCTCTAGTTGCATCTGAGAGATGTGTTGTCGGAGATCTTTTACGATGTTTTCTAGAGGAGACTTCTATATATAAACAAGGATGGCTTCTAGAGGAGACTTTTATATATAAACAAGGATAGAGTTATGCACAAGTCAAAAATAGCACACGGATCTCCTTGACAAAACCATTTTTCCTGTGGTTTTGTATGAAACCCCCCTTCAAAAAGGTCAATTTCTTACTCAAAGTATTCACGAAATAGCTAGACTGAAGATTGTATGAAATCTTTTTTACACCCCAAAACAAGATTACATGATAAGTTATACCCTTAATGGTGAAAAATTTTGAAACCTTGCCAACACTTATTCCTCTTCTAACAATGAACAGGTAATCAAGATATTAGTTGCAACTATTATATGATAGTCAGTAAGAGTACATCCTGGCCTTGCATCAAACTGAGAAAAATTTCAGAGGCATTATGATTATTTTCCTCGTCACATAATATTTCTTAATACCTACATATGTTTATCGTCGTAGCCTGGCTAAAGCATAAACACAAGCCAGAAGCTTGAGTGTGAAACTAATGATCTGAGCCAAACCTCGTCACTATTTGTCGAGGAAATCGATAATGCAAAAGGCTCTAAATTAAATTGATCTTGACCTTTTTGAACATGATATGTGTGTGCGCGCAGAGCCTTAGAATGGCATCCTCAGTATTCAAGTTAAAGTACTACTATATAACAAAATAATAGCAACTTATGACGTAATAGCTTCACTTTAATTTGTTGTATTAATTCATTCTTTGGTTTTTATTTTTCTGGGGGGGGGGTCGGGGCCGGTGATCTAAAAGTTAATTCTACAAATCGTTGGGCTATTATTTGCAGCAAAAGGTCAACTAATTGAAGTTAGATGAACTAATTACACCCAAAAGACTCGGTAAAATTTTCTTACATGAAATAATATGACCAGGTGCAATTATCGCACAACTTAACTCACATGGGCTGATTTGATTTTACTATTGAATATCAACCTCATCTCATCTATCTATCTAATTATTTTGCTCATCAGTTACGAAGATTTTACTTCTGCGTTGCAACCTGCAACTCCACAAAGTCAGCGTAATGATCACTGAATAGCGATTACTATTGCAAGCTACGGAAACCCGTCGTTAGATTTTAATCATTTTTTTAGCAAATATTTACTGTTTCAATTTTATTAGAAATAAAATTTTCTGTAATGATCCTCAAGTAAGAAAATGTGCTGAAGTTTTCCAGCCTTGCCCTAACCTATATGGTTGATAAATTACTTAAGGTGGTTTTCTTTTTTGACTCATCAAAATTACAGACTTATGCGCGGATTTAAGTTGGATATTGAGAATATAATGCAAGGTTAAACTACACTAATCTATGTCAAATTAAAGCCCTTTGGTGTCATCCAAAATGAATTTAATGCTCTTACACCTTCCTAATTAAGAAAATTAGACATGCCGTAATGAGAAACTATTGTGACCTTTGACTATGTTTTTTAGTAATTAAGCAGGAAATTGGGCAGATCGGTTTTCCTATCTTATTTATTATGAAAATTTTCATATATATTAAGATTCTCGATATAATGATCCTCTTTCAGGTTTGCAGAGCTCTTTTCGATATCAATAACCTATATTAGTTATTTTGTTAATTAATGTTGAATAAGTTATTAATAAGCATATGAAATTTAATTTAGCTCATAATCTTTAAGTCCTAAAATATTGTCACCTCGCTCTAAACTAAAGGGGAAAAATCACGCTCACAAGGATAACTTCATTCAAGATCCATCAACTTTCTCGTTCTGAACGGTTACGATTCAATCCCAGTATTGAACTTTCACATTCTGAATAATCAAAATGTGAGACACATCTAATGATGGCCATTCACCCACGTGTCCACTGATGGAGTTGGCACGTATAAAAAAGCAACAAACATCTTCTCGCCGTCTGTGGGGATCGAACCCACGACCACGTGGTTAAAAGCCACGCGCTCTACCTCTGAGCTAAGACGGCCGGTTGATTATTACGTCAATACAAAACATAATGTTAACTCATCTGACCATCACAATTTCTTCCACTCACTTCTTTTGCTTTTTGACGTTCAAGACACATTGTTAACCATTTAAACATAATTTTAGAAAATTAAAGATGATTTAATAATTAGAATAAAGACATGATAAATACATCAATAAAATAAAATATGTTTCCTTTTATGACGTTGCTATTTTAATTAACATAAAACAAACAACAAGCCTTATCCCACTAGGTGGGGTCGGCTACATGAATCACACGACGCCATCGTGCTCTGTCAACAACCCAATCCTTAGATATGTTGTTGATTAGGAGGTCTCGTTCAATGACCTCATTCAGCGTTCTTCTCGGTCTTCCCCTGCCTCTTTTTATGGGACTCCATCTTGTTTGATCCACCCTCCTCACCGGGGCCTCCAAAGGCCTTCTCTACACATGTCCAAACCATCTTAAGCGATTTTCAACCATTTTCTCTTGGATAGGTGCCACACCGACTCTTGTCCTGATCTTTTCATTTCGAATCTTATCTTTTCTTGTATGACCACACATCCATCTCAACATCCTCATTTCTGCTACTTCGACTTTGTGCTCTTGTTTTCCCTTTATTGCCCAACATTCACTACCATACATCATAGCTGGTCTTATAGCAGTCCGATAAAATTTTCCTTTAAGTTTCTCAGGTACCTTCTTATCGCAAATAACTCCGGTAGCTTTCCTCCACTTTAACCAGCCAGCTTGTATTCTATGAGAAATGTCTCCATCAATTTCCCCATCCTCCTGTATAATGGATCCTAGGTATTTAAACTTTGATACTTGAGGAATAATTTGCTCTCCCATCCTCACCTCCAAATCCCAATTACCTTGCCTCCCTCCAAAATCACAATGCATATATTCTGTTTTGTTCCTACTCAAACGGAAACCTTTCGACTCCAAAGTCCTTCTCCATAACTCCAAACTAGTGTTAATCTCTTCTTTTGATTCCGCCATAAGAACTATATCATCCGCGAAGAGTAAGGGTGGAAATAGGCCAGACGGCCTGTCAGGGGCCTGTGGCCTGGCCTGTAAATGGCCTGGCCTGGCCTGGCCTATTTAGATATTAGACCAGGCTCAGGCCTGTAAAAAGGCCTGTTTGCTTTATCAGGCCAGGCTCAGGCCTGACAGTAAGCCTGTTAGGCCTGTCAGGCGGCCTGGGCCTGTTATCTTTTTTTTTTTTTTATGTTAAAATTATAAATTGATAGAAGGGATTTTGTTATTCTAATTGGTTAATTGAGAAAACTCCATCCACATAAACGTGTTATCTAGAGCCTATTGCATGCGACATTTCATTTCTATTCTCTATAATAAAAATAATTGATATATGTATAATGACACATATTTAAACAGAGAAAGAAAACATAAGTGCATTTAAAAAAAAAAAAGCATCATTCATTTATTTGATCCATGCTTATAGAATATATATATATATAGAGAGAGAGAGAGAGAGAGAATTGACCTATTATGTTTTAGACCGTGTATATGTGTGCTCAATCTAATTCTTATTATAATAGTTACTTAATTAATTTGAATAAATAAATAAATAAATTATAATAACTGTAATATTTTTTTAAAAAAAAAACAACCATGTGTAACAACAAGATCAAATATCATTTTGTTAGTAAATTAGTCTGAATAAATGATAAATTTAAAATATAAAAGGGATTAAGGATGTTTCATATTTTAAACTAGATCTAGTCATCAACTAATTTTTATACTAGAGATAGGATGAAGTGATATTTTTATATCAAAATGAAATTATGTTTTCTAATAATTTTTCATATTAGATTTTTTTTTGGACCTAAGGAGACATGTTTTACAAATTGTGTTAATTTGATAATTTCATATTTTTTGTTTGTATTTTAGATCAATTAGGTTGAATTATTATAATTTTGAATTGATTTATGTGTGTTTAAAATTTATTAAAAAAACAGGCCTCTTAACAGGCCACAGGCCAGGCCAGGCCTGATTACAGGCCAGGCTTAGGCCGATTAAAAGGCCTTTCACAGGCCGCAGGCCAGGCTCAGGCCAACAGGCCTCACCACAGGCCAGGCCTGTTAAGGGTGAGGCCTGACCTGGCCTGGCCTGTTTCCACCCCTAGCGAAGAGCATGGACTTAGGGATTCTTTCTTGAACAGGTTTAGTTAGAACATCCAGAACAATGTTGAACAAGTACGGACTCATAGAGGATCCCTGATGTAGGCCAATCTTAATAGGAAAGTCCTTTGTCTCCCCCCAGGCGTCCTTACACTGGTAGTTACCGCCTCATACATATCTTGTATGACTTTGATATACGCAACCCGTACACCTTTCTTTTCCAAAACCTTCCACAATACTTCTCTTGGCACACGATCATAAGCCTTTTCCAGGTCAATAAAAACCATATGTAAATCTCTTCTTTTACTTCTATATCTCTCTATTAACCCCCTTAGTAAATAGATTGCTTCCGATGTGGATCTCCCTGACATAAATCCAAATTGGTTTTCCGAAATAGAGGTCTCCAACCTCAATCTATATTCCATCACTTTTTCCCACAACTTCATTGTATGACTCATAAGTTTTATCCCCCTGTAGCTTGCACAGTTTTGAATGTCTCCTTTATTCTTGTAAATAGGAACTAAAATGCTTTTCCTCCATTCATCCGGCATATTTTTAGAGCGTAGAATTTCATTAAAAAGCTTGGTTAGCCATACCTCCCCCTCATCGCCCAAACATTTCCAAATTTCAATAGGGATACCATCAGGCCCAACGGCTTTTCCATTGTCCATTTTCTTGCTATTTTAATTAACATAATAGTATGTAAATTTGGATCGGACTAATTTGAATGAAAAC